AAAAATCTAAAATTCACTAATTACAAAAACGATTTACCTATTTAAGGCAAGTCAAAAGTATGAATATTACTAGTTTATTGTATTTGTAAACGGCATTGAAATTAGTGCTAAAATATCAACAACAAAAGAATAGTATAAAATAATTGGCGTGTTGAAATGAATTTGACGTGGGCTCCAATCCAGTGAAATGGCGTACACGGAGAAAGGTGGGAGAATAAACGGCATTGTTCTCCATTTATAGGTTAAAACAACAAGAAAGAGTTATCAAAGGACAGAGCAATGTGCTTTCTGAGAACCTGCTCTGTGTGTGGACCAATTACCACAAACCAGTATAACATGAACTTGATGACGATCCTCACTATGTACCACACGACCCATTTTAGATTTTCATGTTTCAATGAACAGTACTTGTCAATATTGCACAGGTCACAGCTATTTTGTTGAAATTAAAGGGTTTCATTGTTTTCATCTTCATGCTATTTTGTCCTCAATCTTGTTTTATTGATAATTGCTAAAATCAGTTCAAATCAACCATATTTTCTTTAAATTAACAAATGATATCATGTTATGTCATTATCAACTAGTAGTCTAAAAGCGACAACAAAGTTTGGATTTCTCAAAATAATAATATTAATATTAATACTATTACATTTATAGGCTTTTTTTTAAAAATAAATTCTTAAATAATATTTTACAGTTTTGGTAGTCAATTCACAAAATTAGTTTTCATATTTAATTTTTAAATAATTTTGATTTTTCATGTTTATTTTTCATTAAAAAAATATTGATATGTATTATTTTATAGATACGAAACATATTTTTATTGATTTAGAATAAGAAAGACTAATTATTTATTATATTTTTTATGACATTTTCTTACTTCAACCGTCTTTTTTTATTTTCTTTTTCTCTCAATTTATTCGTTCATTTTCTTTGTTCTCTAGAAAATACTTCATGTATTCTCTTTCTTTCAGAAAATATGTCACATATAAATAAATAAAAACATCAATATTTTTTAACGAAAAATAAATATGAAGAACCATAACTGTTTAAAAAAATAAATAAGAAACTGATTTCGTGAATTAAAAAAAATAGAGATCAAAATTATAATTTTGCCAAACTATTATTTTAAAATATATATTCTCTAAATATAAAGTTAAATTATATTTTTACTCTTCCAATTTATCTAATTTATAAAATTAATTTTCATATTTTAAATTTAAATAACTTTGATTCTTTTCACTTTTTTCATTAAAAATTAATATTATATTTGTTTTTTAATTTATATTTTTATTTATAAAATTTCACAAAATATATTTGTATGCAATATTTATCATGTTACATAAGAAATTTGTCCATTTAAAAATGAAAACAATTTTAATTTTAACTGTAAAATATGTGATAGAACCAAAACTATTTAAATTTAAACTAAGGAAATCAATTTTATAAATAAAATAAAATAAAAAAGCTAAAATTATAATTAAACTTAAATATAAATAAATATTTAATAATGATTAATAAATGAAATAAAATATAGTTAATTATTAAATTACTCTGTTTTATATTTTTTAATTATAGTTTTAATTTTTAATAAAAATAATATATATTAATCTTATAAAATAATTTTATAATATCAATTATCATCAATATATATTCCGCTTAATCACATTTATATTTTAAAATTACCTCGGTGACATAACAACTTAATAATTTTCTGTTAGATGACTTGCAGTGTCCATTAATCTTTTTTTATTTTTAAAATTTTTTAACATGTATTAATTTACCGTATTTCACAAATATTCATATATGATGTAGTACCTGAATAAAATAATGCATCTATTTATGGTCAAAGGACCACATCATGTTTCCCAAACACCAGGAGTATGGATGGGTCTGGATAGGTTTATCTAGCGATGTTGAAAATTAAATTGGTTCAATAGAAAATTGTAAAACTGAATCGAATTAAATTGAAATTGTAAAAAATTATGTTTGATTCAGATGCGTTTGAGTCATTTTCTAACAGAACCGTGCGATTCGATTCGATTCGCAGTATGTTACAAAATTTTACTAACTAATATATATATTTTTAATTCTTTAAAGAAATCAACGTGTATTATGTTTATATTTTATAATATTTTTTGTGTGATCTTTATTTTAATTTACATGTCATCAAAAAATAAAATATTATTCATTTATAAATACTATTTTCACAAAATATATTTTATCGTATTTTTTTAAGATATTTATTTAAGAATGCAATTTCATGTATATCATTCTTTAAATTTAAGATAAAATTATGAGACACAATTTTATGTATCAAATTATAAATTTATTTTGACATTATAATTTTTTGGAAAAATATTCATTTTGGTCCCTTAACTATAGGTCATGGTTCAATTTGGTCCATTAACTTTTTTTTTGTGTCAAATTGGTCTCTTAATTTTTAAAACGTAACCACGTCAGTCATTCCGTTAGTGAATCATTAGTCAAAGTCAAGAAATAGACTTCAGGTGACATTTGACTTGCTGAAGTGGCTAACTGGAGTCATAATCCAATTTTTAATTATAATTAACTTATTCAAATGTGACTCAACCTTCTCGTAACCTACGCCCACGACCACAACCACTCTCTCCCTCTTCCCAAATCTCATTCTTCTACTTGTGTCGTCGTAACTGCCACCGTCGACACTATTGATATATCCAAATCCAAAACAAATCAAACTCGGAAAAATCTCTAGATCTTGAATGCTGAAAAAAACTTACAAAAATTATGATAATTTGCATTTGGCGTTGAAATTTCCTTGTAGAGAAATGTGTTTGCCACCATTAATTGTGAAATTTCCTTTTTATGCAACTATTACATCTCAACTTTCTCACTATCCTTCAAATACGATCCTCTTGCACCAGGTTCATGAACTTATTTCAACAAAACACACGATTTGCTTTTTTGATTCTCTTCTTCTAATTCCTGAAGCTTGTCTTCCATCTCTCGAAGATCGAAGAGAGTTGTTTGTGGATTCGCTTCGTCGTCGAAGTGGTCCTTTGTTAGGCCGGTTGACCATGTGAAAGGTGTTTCCCAATTTGTATTGTCAAGGGATCCTCTTCCAGAAGTTGTGGTTGAGAATGTTCGGAGGCGGTTTTCGAAGCGGAGCTCGGTGGTGAGTCTTCTAGTTACGGAGATGATATAGTTGGTGGCTTGCATTGTAACGGCGTTGGGAATGGTGGCGGTGGAGTGACGACAACTGGGAAGGAATTTACGTGAGAAAAATCGTTGTCGTCATTAACGGATGGCATAAAATGGAGAAGTTGGTTGTTAATTAAAAGCACAAATTTGAGGTGTAGTTTGTAAATTGAAACCAGTGTTAAGGGAATTAGTATGATTCTAAGATACTAATGTTCTAAATATGCTTGATTCTCTCCATCAAATTCACATAAAAATCCGAAAAATTATGGTTCCATCAAACTATAAATACAGGAAAGCAGATGAGAGGTTGCTCTAAGAACAAATAAAATTCGGCTATGTTAAAATCTTAGACAGGTAGCGACTGTGGTGGTTAGAGCAGAGATATAGGCATTCGTTTGAGTTTATGGAGGAGATCTAGTGGCGTTTGAGTTTACGGAGGAGATCTGATGGCAGCTTGACATTGGCATCAGTAATCTTATCGGTTGGTTACGATGACAACGGGAAGATGCAAATGAAACAAATTTTACTTCTGGAACATGTTGATGTGGTTTGGCATTAGTCAGTTCACTTGTGGAACATGTTGATGTTCATAGAGAAGAAGATGAAGATAATATGTCAGTTCACCTGCCACGTATGTAAAATTAACGAACGTTTGAGTCCAATTGACGGAAGAGACTTGTTTGTTACGTTTTAAAAATTAAGAGACCAATTTGACACGAAAAAAAGTTAAAGGACCAAACTGAACCATGACCTATAGTTAAGGATCCAAAATAAATATTTTGTCTAAATTTTTTTATGATAATGTATGAACGATTAAACACAATTATATTTTCCTCTATATTGTATGTATGGATCAATAATTTTTTTTGTAAAAAATTGAACCAATCGAACCAACCCAAACCGTATTAATTTGGTTTGGTTTAGTTCGATTTTATTTTTAAAAGTCAATCGAACTATACATTTTTTTCTCTTGTAGTTCGAATAATTTTTAGCTTCAAAATCGTCCAAACCACATCACAAATACTCTTAAATCTATCTATATTAATGTGACAAGGGTAATTAAGTCATTTGATTTCATTTTGTAATTTTGCTTTCCAAAACCGAACAACACTGCCCAGAAATGGGTTGGTAGGTCCTACACAAAATAGAGAAGAAAGAACTAGCCGTTGGAAATTTGGAGTTCGGACATGCAATAAAAGAAAATTAATGTCTTTCTTTTATTATGTCATCATTTCTTAACCTCCTCTACACTCAACTTAACCAGTTCAATAAAATCAATAATAAAACCAATAATAATAATAATATTAATAATAATTCAAACTTTGATAAAATGAGTATATCAAGTAGCAGAGACATTAACATTTAATATAAGAACACATATTTGAATATGAAACATTTTACTTAATAAAAATAACTGTTAAAATATTCTGAAGAGAATTTTATCATCTATTATGATGGTTCTCGACGAGAGAAATTAATCTCTCGAATAGTTGTATGCAGTAAATATTTGATTTTTATCGAAAATGAAATCATAAATTTAACAAAACTAGCCGTTTGTGTTTTTAAGAAGAGTCTTTCTTTACACCTGACACTTGTCTTCACAGTTTCTGGTCTGTCTCTCTCTTCCCAACACAAGATTCCTCAATACCCCGCGCCCACTCACTCTTTCTTATGACCATCAATCACGTGCTTCTCCTCTTCTCTCTCTCTCTCTCTCTCATTACAAAACCATCTTCCATAACTCTTGTTCCACTGTTTCATTTCTATGATCTTTCTTTTTCCACTCTCTTCTCTCACATTTCAAACACAGTGTCTTCATGGACACTAACAACAACACTCACCATGTAATATGTTTCGCTCCTATTCTTACTTTATTCATTCTTCTTAACTTAACTTGTTCTAATGAAGATAAAAATTCTAACCATGTTTTTCTTACAATAACCCTTTTCAGATGACAAATGCAGCAGAAAGAAGAAACAATTTTTACAGGCTATTCTTCATTTTCGTCATCTGGGTCCATTTTATAATGAACCGAGTTTCATGTGAAGAACATTGGGATGGGGTTGTTGTTACACAGTCAAATTTCCTAGCACTTCAAGCCTTCAAACAAGAGCTTATTGATCCCAAAGGGTTCTTGAAAACATGGAACGACAGTGGCTTTGGAGCATGTTCAGGAGCTTGGGTTGGAATCAAGTGTGCTCAAGGACAAGTCATTGTGATCCAGCTTCCATGGAAAGGGTTAAAGGGACAAATCACTGAAAGAATTGGCCAACTTCAAGGTCTTAGAAAGCTTAGTCTTCATAACAACCACATTACTGGCTCAATCCCTTCATCATTAGGACTTCTTAACAATCTAAGAGGAGTTCAGCTTTTCAACAACAGGTTAACAGGTTCAATCCCTTCTTCATTAGGTTCTTGTCCTTTGCTTCAATCTTTGGATTTCGGTAACAATTTGCTCACAGGTGAAATCCCTGAGAGCCTTGGAAATTCTACTAAGCTTTATTGGCTTAACTTGAGCTTCAATTCTTTGTCTGGTTCAATACCAACTAGTCTCACTAGTTTGAATTCTCTCACTTTTATATCCCTTCAACATAATAATCTCTCAGGTTCTATTCCTAGTTTGAAAAATGGATTATTTAACCTTCAAAATCTTGTCTTGGATCATAACTTCTTGACTGGAACCATTCCTGGTTCTTTAGGTAATTTAAGGGAGATTAGAGAGATTTCTCTTGGTCATAATCAATTTAGTGGTCACATTCCTCAAAGTATTGGAAAAATTTCAAATCTTAAACAGCTTGATTTGTCATTGAATAATCTCAGTGGAGAAATTCCTGTCTCTTTTGACAATCTACTTATTCTTAGTTTCTTCAATGTTTCTTATAATAATCTCTCTGGTCCTGTACCATCTTTACTAGCACAGAAATTTAACTCAACCTCATTTGTGGGAAATTTTCAACTATGTGGTTATAGTCCTTCAACTCAATGTTCCTCTCCAGCTCCTTCGGAAGGACAAGGTGCACCTTCTGAATCATCGAAACATCGGCATCGTAAGAAACTAGGTACCAAAGACATAATCCTCATAGTAGCAGGAGTGCTACTTGTAGTCCTAATAACAGTCTGCTGTATCCTGCTCTTCTGCCTGTTCCAGAAGAGAAAATCATCGAATGCCGAGGAGGGGCACGTTACTGCAAGATCAGCAGCAGCTGCTGCCAGGACCGGAAAAGGAGTCCCTCCTATCGGCGGAGAAGTTGAAGCGGGAGGGGATGCTGGAGGCAAACTAGTACATTTTGATGGACCGCTCGCGTTTACAGCCGACGATCTTTTGTGTGCAACAGCTGAGATAATGGGAAAGAGCACCTATGGAACAGTGTATAAGGCAACATTAGAAGATGGTAGTCAAGCTGCAGTGAAAAGATTGAGGGAAAAAATCACCAAGAATCAGAGAGAATTTGAATCTGAAGTTAGTGTTTTAGGGAGAGTTAGACATGAAAATCTTTTGGCACTGAGAGCCTATTACTTAGGACCTAAGGGAGAAAAGCTTCTGGTTTTTGATTACATGCCTAAAGGAAGTCTTGCTTCTTTCCTACATGGTACGTCTAATGTAAAATCTTGCCATAATCATGATTGCAGAGTTTGTTTGTTTATTGATTAATCAAATTTATTGTTTTTCGATTTTTTAGCAGCTCATGGACCTGAAACAAGAATTGATTGGGCAACAAGGATGAACATAGCACAAGGCATGGCTCGTGGCATGTTATACCTACATTCACACGAAAACATCATACATGGGAACCTAACTTCAAGCAATGTGTTACTTGATGAGAACACAAATGCGAAAATAGCAGACTTTGGTCTATCAAGGTTGATGACAACAGCTGCTAACTCTAATGTGATTGCCACGGCGGGTGCATTAGGATACCGAGCACCCGAGCTATCGAAGCTAAAGAAAGCGAACACGAAAACTGATGTATACAGTCTTGGTGTAATCTTGTTAGAGCTACTAACAAGGAAGCCACCTGGTGAGGCAATGAATGGTGTTGATCTACCTCAATGGGTTGCATCTATTGTTAAAGAGGAGTGGGCAAATGAGGTTTTTGATGTTGATTTGTTGAGAGATTCGTCTACAAATGGTGATGAGTTGTTGAACACTTTGAAGCTTGCTTTGCATTGTGTTGATCCTTCTCCATCAGCACGGCCAGAAGTTCAGCTGATACTTCAACAGCTAGAAGAGATTAGACCACAGATGGTATCATCAGGTATTTCTAGTGATGAGGGAGCCATTCCTACAAGTGAATAAATTGCATCATGTGTGTCACAACTTTTGCATCGTTTAGGATAGTGTTTTTGTTATTCTTTCATTCTTATTTATTAACTACATTTTTTTGCCTCTTTGAGTGTGTATGTACATACTAATGTATTTTAATTCAGTGAGTGTTTCCTCTTTAACACTTCATCATTTCATAATGGAAATTAGTTTGTTCAACTTGCTCTTCTCCTTTCCACTTTTTTAAAATGTTAGATTTTGTGTTAAAAGTTTATATTTCCTCGCAAACAAAAACCATGCAATAACTTCACATCCTCTTTTACATCCAAAGTTCTTTTTTGGTACAAAAGGTTAAAGAATCAGAAAAAGGAGAAAAAGAAAAATTGAATTTTTAAAAATTAAGTTTCCTCCGCATCCGCTGCAAGGATGTGTTGCTAAGCCCTTGAGGAAGAGATGGGTGAATCACAAGATGTTAGGTCATCTTCTCTGAGAATGTGGATGACTCGAAACATGTTTTCAAAGATGATATCCTTAATACTTTCCTTCAACACTGCATGTTTTATACTTATTTAAGGGGTTCTCAATGAGGCTAATATTGAGGGAAGAATCAAAGTGGCAAGCTGATTCAGTAATGCTTATATCTTTGGCTACATAAAGCCTTGGTAATTGGTAAATGGCCTAAAGTTCTACATGGAGGATATATGGAGAATTTGGCATGAATCCAAAGAAACCACATTGCCAAGTCTCATTGGATGTATCAAAGATATCGCCAAAATCAATACGAGTTGTGCCATTACAATTCACATCTACATTAATAATAGTGCAAGAGTATTTTTTAGAATCCCATTACAATTCACATCTACATTAATAATAGTGCAAGAGTACTTTTTAGAATTCCAAGTGATGAAGCGCCTGATTGTGTGCTCTATTTGAAGTTTGCTGAAGCAAGTGGTGAAAGAATCCTTCATAAAGTGGGCTATTTGTGTGCTCTATTTGAGGTTTGCCGAAGCAAGTGGTGAAAGAATCCTTCATAAAGTGGGTTGTTTGTGTGCTCTATTTGAGGTTTGCTGAAGCAAGTGGTGAAAGAATCCTTCATAGAGTGTGCAGCCGATAGAATCTATATCTTGGAATAATTTCGTGAGAAATACAAACAGCGTTACGGTTTCTCCAAACTCACCAAATTCCCGCATCAAAGAGGTTATGTCGGGTACCATGTATCTCGTTTTTTATCCTAGAATGATTATCTTGGTTCAAGAAGAAATCTAGATGACTAAATCCAAGGTGCAAACAAAAGTTTTTGAAATTCATAAAGTCACAAACATAGTGGAGGAAGTCTCCTCTTCGAGGCCACATCTAGAGTATAAAACTGAGACACAATGATGAAGAAGAGGGAGAGTGAGAACAAATTTGTGACAAGTAGGCCAAAGGAGAAACTTTATCTATTTTGAGAAGCATAATTATCATATCCAATTTCAAGATTGAGTGACATTGATAGAATCATGAAACTCATCTTTATTGCGGAGGATTCAAGAGTAGCCACTCTTAGTAGTGTAAGTATCATTTATGTGATCAGACCAAAGGAAGACGTCTTTTGTTTTAGGGTTGAAATTGGGACTTTTAGAGGTGATCTTAGTTCTGACGTTAGGAGGGAGCTGAGTATACAAGTGTTGAATGTCGGGAGGTGATGTAGAGTAAAAATCTTAAATAGTTAGAGCAGTGTCATGTATGTGAACATAATCAACTAGAGAAGTCAAGGGGCCAAGAGAAAACCAGTGGTTGTACCAGAAATATGAGGATCATGATCCCAGTTTCCAAGTTAAATCATATTTTAACACATTCTTTGCTTTGATAATAGAGTTTTAAGTGGATGAGTGATTCGCTGTCGCACACGGATCAAAAACGAGTATTTTGTAAAATGCAGTATAGCGACAATGGCTCGAGTCGTATCGCAAGGATTCTTGATTTTATTATTAACTAATAGAAGTCGAATGGGGGGTTGGTTTTAGGATCGATTTATAACACGAAATAAGTGATTATCAAAATAAGCTGAAAAGTCAATTTGCTGATTCGGTTCCTACCTATCATCGACTATCGTAATTCCAATTCCCTAAGAAGATTGTTTATTCCTATTCGAGTACAAACTCAGTGACAAACACAATGAGAATAGTGTGATGTAAGTTCCTATTATCCGAATTAAGCAAACGGAATTAAGGCTCGTGAATTAAGCAAACATGAATTAATCGGATACGGTAACAAATTAAGCAAACGTTGACGTGACTACGGTTAAGATCATACAATCAATCAAATTAAATCAATATACTCTATGCAATTTGAATTAAGCATACAAGAACATAGATTAATATTGAACGAAATAAAAGATGAATTAGAACCTAAATACAGCAGATTATCAGGATGAATTAGTTCTCCATGAAAATTCGTACAAAAGCTAAAATAATTTTCTCAATAATCAAAAGTCACAATCAACAGTGTACGTCTGTCTAGGTATACATGCATACAAGAGAATTCGGGTCAAGATCCAACTGGGTCAAAAACATAACTCAGACCCAAAACAAATGATCCAAAACTTAAATAAATCTAAAGTTGCAACTTCAACTACTTTTTCAACCCTACTACAGTCCGAATCAGCTTCTGGTCATAACTAGAAAGTTGTAGGTCTTTCTCTTATCTTTCTAACGCATGGTCAAACGCCTCAATCCGATTCATGTAGCTCCAGTTATGAATGTTTCCGCAAAAGCTACAAATGCTGAAAATAAAGTACGAAAATCAAATTAAAACAAAAATAAACTAAATTGCAAAAAAAATTATAAAATATAAAAATAAATAAAGAAAAGCATAGAAATGCTTAAATTCAAATATGGAAGAATGTGTATTAAAATGCACCGATCAAATTCCCCTACACTTAAACTTTTGCACTTCGAGCAAAATAAAATCAAAAGAAACACAACAGAATCATCATTTACTCATTTCAGGCTACAAACTCTTCTTGGTTAAGATTGCACCGATAGGTACTAATTTTGCACGCTAAGGATATCGTAGGAACACCACACTGTAATTATGCAGTCATAAGCTTCCAGAATATACAATCCAATTCGAATCATGTTATTATGCCAAAATCTAACTTACTCATCCTCCTTTTTGCTCTCTTCCATTCTGGCACAATCACATTAAGTCTGTTATCTGCATATACACTTATAGTAAGACGATCGGTTGCTGACTCTGATCCTTTTTGCATGGAGTTCTGGTACATGAGTGGTATAACCCTTTGCTTACCTAATTTTAGTTGCGGGGGATCAGACCGTAATCCGCCCTACCAAGTTCAGTACCAGGAACCTCTGAACCAACCAACAACGGGTCTGATAATCAAATTTTGTAGGTCCCACAATTGTTGGGTTAAGTGACTGGGTGAGGGTTACCAAACTTAGGAGGTGCATTCCCTTTTTTTCCAAATAAAACTTGGATCACTCACTTATATTCATCGGCTTCCTTACGTAGAACATGTGTGAGATGGTGTTGACTGCTAAGATAAACTACTCGAGAGTTGTTAGAGAATGAGAATTCAAGGCTATGTCATAATAATTATTCAAATTAATTTCCATATGCAGGAGACTTACGGTGTTAAGACGATACCGATCTTGCGAACTTTTCCCAAGTCTCCACAACTAACCTCAGATTAATCTTATAACCCAAAACTTATAAAAGGATGCAATTTTTTTTATAATAACTGAAAACAAAACAAAACAACGAACAATAGCAAAGAAAACAAAACAAATAAATGATTCTCTCCCTCACACTTAAAACACGCATTATCCTCAATGAAAGAAACAATCATAAAATAAGAGTGAGGAAAGAGAGGAAAGAACACACCTGAGGAGTCAAGGCAGATAGATGATCACATAAGTAACCTTTTCCAACGAGAGCTCTTTTATAGTTTCCTCTTCTAACGTGGGACTCTCATGGAATAGCTTGAGGCGATGTCCTTTGACTTTGAAATTTTTATGAGTACCTTCACTTTTTATTCCTTGATCAAAGAATGTCCTTCTAAAAGTAAAAGTATCAAATGGGTACGTGAACATGATGTCATCTTTCATAACATCAAGGGTCAAAAGGTTACGGGGCTGCCTCACTGCTTTTGCTACATCTTCAAGTGAGATCTTATGCATACACATGGACGGACTAATATCATAAATATCATCAAAGGTCCATCCAATTCCTTTCTTATGCTTCTTCAAAACCTGCAAAAATTTACTTTCTTGATCAAAATAAAGTTCAGAAGAAATTATAACCGGAAGTTTTCCAGACATCTCTAAATAAGCATATTTAAGATTTTCAAGAATTGGTTTCAGCTCTCGGGAAGGTGGTTGTTTGATGGATGGTTTGTTTCGGGCAGCCGGAGTGTCGAGAGCTTCATCCACATGAACAACTTCATTTGCAACCTCATGTGCAATAAGAATATCAACTTGCAAGGCAGCCTCAATTTCAGCACAAACAAAACAAATTTTAATATCAGTACAAACATCACAAGAGTAAACATCATCAAAATCAGATAATGATGGAAAATTAGCTGCAAATAAATCAGTACAAGTATCATCAACAGTCTCAGAAATCAACTCTATTGGAAAAACAGAATTCTCGTCCAAGGGTTGTGGGTTAGATCCTTGAGCTTGTTACATGATATTCATCAAAGAGGCAAGTTATTCAATATGTGTTTGCAAAGTCTGGAGAGTATAATCTATTTATTGTTCAAACTAGAGATTATTTGCAGCAATTTATTTGACAATATCCTCTAATGAAGGCCCAGAAGGTGCAGAGCACACAACCTAGAATTCCTTCATATGCTAATGTGGATCCTCACCTGCAAAACCATTAAACTTTGACAACAAATGTATTAAATCAAATTTCAATTCAAAAGGTGCATCAGATGTAGGATAGTCAACATGTAAACAATTATAGTTCACATAAGGGACAACCAACTGCCTCAAAGTTCTTTGTTCATCCATGTTATCAATAAACAC